GATCTGGCTCTTGTGCCCTGGTCGTCCATCAGGGCGCAGTTTATCCCGCTAGTTCCTCCTACTAGCTCTCCCTATCTGGGGGGTTGGGAAGTCTGGTTCTGGCCTCCTGGCCGAGCCAGTGGTCGCTGCCCCAGGCCAGCGGCTCTAATCTGGGCTACCTTGGGGATGTGTTTTGAGGGTTGTCTGACTCACAGGGAGTGTTGGTAGGAGCAGAGGGATCTTGCCATCAATCTTGTGTTCTTGATTTGGAGATGGGCATGTGGGTTTTTAACGTGGAGGTTTGGAATTATCACTTATCTAGGGGGGGCTGCGGGCGTTGGGGTGGGATGTTGGTTTGGCAGAGAGGCAACCGCTTGCTCCTCCGTTTCCCTCTTTTAGTCCATGTTACTGGTATCTCTATACTTTGCTTGCCTCACGTCCCCTAGGGGGCGGGAGTAGCAGTGGCCCCTGCATGGTTTCCCAACTGTTGGCTCGCTATGTGGGAAGGATGGTGCGCGTGGTTTAGGTAACATTTTTAGGGTCCATTAGTCTATACTGTCTATGGGGCTCCTGCCCTCGCTTGGTTTTATGGCCCTATTGTCTTCTGACCCTGACCTGGTGCTGCTCCTGGGGCATCGCCCCGCCACCCTCCATGTCTCCCCGCTTGAGCCCTTGATCCCGCTTCTTATTTTGGCTATGTTAGGTAGGTGGGGTAGTTAGTGGGTATGTTTTCAGGGGGGGGCTACAGGGTCGGAGACCCTCTCGCGTGGGTCGTATCCTGCTGTCTAGACGGGGTCCCTGCCCCATGGTGGTTAACTTTCCCCTCTTGTTACCCCTTCCCTCACAGTTCCTCTCCCCCCTCCCCAGTCCCCCTCCCCTTGTTCCCTATATTTATGAAATAATGATCCGTAATGTTAACACAAAAACAGTTGTAGCGAGTATATTACCCTCTCCCGTCGTGTTTCCCTTGGTCGACGGTGAACAATGTCCCAAAGTCCCTGAAAAAGATTAGCCGTGTCCATGGTGTATTTTGCGTTGATACTGTCCGCATGGATGTCATCCGTCATCCCTTGGCTTCCGTCACTGTTTTGCTGTGTGTTTCGGCGTTTTGGGGTGTTTCACCGTCTGCCACTCTTGGTGCAATGTCGGTCGTTTGTTTGGTTTGTCCCTGTTTGTAGCTAGAGTGATGCCCCAAGAGCGCAGCAGTCGGGTTCCTTCTTCTGCGGTTGAGGCAATTTGGGTCTTGCCGTCTCGTAGGATCAATAGCTTGATTGGGAATCCCCAGCGGTACGGGATTTTTCTGTTCCTTAGTTCAGCTGTGACGTCCTTGAAAGTTTTCCTGCGTCTAAGTGTTTCGGCCGAAAGGTCTGCGTATATCTGGACCTCTTTATATCTGTCCGGGAGATCTTGTAGAGGTATCTTGGAGCGCAGGAGGGATTCTTTTACGTGATAGTAGTGTAGTCTGAGCATCACGTCCCTCGGTATTGAGGCTGGCAGATGTTGTGGCTTTGCCACCCTGTGCGCCCTATCCATGAGTAGCATGTCAATTGGGAGGTCAGGAGCCAAAATATGGAACAGGTCTGTGAGGTATGTCATGAGGTTTGCAGCCTGTACGTCTTCAGGTATACCTCTCACGCGGAGATTTTGGCGCCTGGATCTGTCCTCAAGGTCCATGTTTTTTACTTCTTGCTTCTCAAGCTTTGCCTCCAGCTCCTCAATTTTTTCTGCCATGCTGTTGTGTGCTTCGGCATATTCCGCCATCTTGCTTTCCATGTGGGCTGTACGGTTTCCTATGTCGGCAATATCTTTCTTTAGGTCCGCTATTGCTGCATGGACTGTTGTTTGTATTTTTGCAGCTATGTCATCTAACATTGTCTGGAACAGCTCACCGTGTATTTGCATGGTGCTGGGTGCAGGCTGTTGTGGGGAATGTGGCTGGGGAATTTCCTGTTCATCCCCACTGCCGTCGCCATCTTGTCCCGTCTGAGCCTGTGACTTGTGGCTTGCCGTTTTCGCGGCGAAAAACGAGTGCTTTTCTTTGGCGTCGGTCACCCTCCTTGCTCCCCTCTGTGACATTGTGGCAATACCTCACTCTGGGGAGTGTTTGTGCCGGTAGGATGCTGTTTGTGCCGCTGTATTTAGCCGTCGGCTCGGGAGCTCTCCACTCACGCGGCCATTCCGTTCGAGCGCAGGCTCCGCCCCTCCATTTTTGTTTGTTTTGTGCATGCATTTCGCCAGTGTCTGTAAGTACAGTGATCGTTCATGGAGCCAGTACGCTTGAACTCTGACCACAGTGAATCTCTAAACTGGTACATTTGAATGAGGTCAGCTGTAACCCAGGGTAGGTGTGTCCCTTTTAGTTGCACTTTACGCAGAGGGGCATGCAAATTCCAAACAAGCAAGAGCTCAGACTGAAAAAATGCAATTGCAGAGTCTAGATCTGGTATTAGACCTAATCTGTGCCATGGTATGTTCTAGAGATCATTTAAAAAGGATTCAAGATAGGGTGGGAGGGGAAACAGTCTTCCAGAAGGCTACCTGTTGCAAAGGGCAGTGGGACAGCTGATTGAGCTCTGGGTGCTTTGCTGGGCTGGGTAAGTTTTAAAATCAGGCTGTGGTAGAAAGATATATTAGGGTCAGATGGGCTAAGGGATGCGGAAAATGCATATATAGACCTTGACTTAAGGGTCATTTAAGCAAAAACAAAGGTAAAGATTAAAAAATTACAGATATAAGACAGAGGTATTCATGTAGGGTAATAAAACCATTAAACAAATAACAAGAAAGACATATGGGCCTGAGCTGGTTAAACTAACTTTTAACATAATGGACAAGACAAAGGTGAGAAAATGAGCAATGTGCCATTAGTGATGTCCCGAACGGTTCGCCAAACGGTTCGCGAACGGTTCACCGCGGACTCATCATTGAGTAAACTTTGACCCTGTACCTCACAGTCAGCAGACACATTCCAGCCAATCAGCAGCAGACCCTCCCTCCCAGACCCTCCCACCTCCTGGACAGCATCCATTTTATATTCATTGTAAAGCTGCATTCTTAGTGAGCTGTCCAGGAGGTCGGAGGGTCTGGGAGGGAGGGTCTGCTGCTGATTGGCTGGAATGTGTCTGCTGACTGTGAGGTACAGGGTCAAAGTTTACTCAATGATGAGTCCGCTGCGAACCGTTCGTGGCGAACCGTTCGAACCTTTCGGGACATCACTACCAGGGATATTTAAAGTATGATTAGAACAGGCCAGTGGCGTACATACTGTGGTCGCAGGGGTCACAGCTGCGACCGGGCCCATCACTCCAGGGGGCCAGGCCGCCCTGCGGACCCCCGCGACCTGGTACCAGCTGCCACATTTTGCGGCCCCTGCCCGCATGGCAAACCGCCTGGGCCGCATGTTAGGGATAATATGGATTATCAGGGGCCCGGTCAGTGCTGGGCGCTTTAACAGCGCGACCGGGCCCCCTGTGATTACATCACAGAGCTGGGAGGAAGTGATTCCCTGGTCACTCCTCCCAGCTATCAGCCCACGCGGGAGGAAGGAGGAGGAGGGAGTCAGAGTGGGAACTCTGACATCCATCAGGCTGAGCCCCCAGGGAAAGTCACAAGGTAGGAAACATTTTGTATATGTATGTATCTGTATGTGTCTATGTCTCTGTATGTGTGTGTGTCTCTGTCTGTGTCTCTTTGTATGTGTGTGTCTCTTTGTATGTGTGTGTGTGTTTGTGTCTGTGTCTCTGTATGTGTCTGTGTCTCTGTATGTGTGTCTGTGTCTCTGTATGTATGTGTGTGTGTGTGTCTCTGTATGTATGTGTGTGTGTGTCTCTGTGTGTGTGTCTCTGTATGTGTGTGTCTCTCTGTATGTGTGTGTCTGTGTCTCTGTATGTGTGTGTCTGTGTCTCTGTATGTATGTGTCTGTGTCTCTGTATGTATGTGTGTCTCAGTATGTGGCTGTGTCTCTGTATGTGTGTGTGTCTCTGTATGTGTGTTTGTCGTTGTCTCTGTATGTGTGTGTATGTATGTGTCTGTGTGTGTCTGTCTGTGTATATATGTGTGTGTCTGTATATATGTGTCTGTCGGGGGGTGTATGTATGTGTGTGTGTCTGTCTGTCTGTGTGTATGTTTGTGTGTGTGTGTGTGTCTGTATGTATGTGTCAGAGGGTATGGGCGGGGCGCACGGATCGGGGGAGACAGGGGAGGTGGGGGTCCCACGGATCAGTTTCGCACCTGAGGCCCCATGGATTGTGTGTACGTCACTGGAACAGGCTGTAGTTAACAAAGACATGGAAATAAATACATTGAAAATAATAAAATAATCACTAAATATAAAAACACACACAACAAAAATAACAGGGTATGTAAAAATATAATGAAATGTTGGTCTTCCAGAAGGCTACCTGCTGCAAAGGGAAGTGGAACAGCTGATTGAGCTCTGGGTGCTTTACTGGGCTGAGTAAGGATTCACTGTATTCAGTCTGAGTATTGTCCTACCCTCTCAAACTGAACACAGCAATCGGTGCATGACTCAGCCCCCTCAGACTAAACACAGCAATCTGTGCATGGCTCCGCCCCCTGAGACTGAACACAGCAATCTGTGCATGACCTCACTCCCTCAGACTGAACACAGCAATCAGTGCATGACCCCGCCCCCTCAGACTGAACACAGGCGATCGCAGGAGGGATAGTGGAGAGGACTGGACTCTGACAGTCTCAAATGACAGGTAACCACATAGCTCTGCTACCCATACTGTACACAGCCACAGCTCCACTTCTCACAATGAATACACATACTGCTACTCATACTGCCCCCACAATGTACAAATGCAGGTTGTTCCCGACTTTACTAACTAATTGGTTCCAAAGCCTGTTCATAAAGTGAGAGTTCATAAAGTGAGCACTAATTTCCCATAGACTGCAATGTAATAAACATGGGTTCCGTTCCTGACCAAAAACCTAACCAAATGTCCCTTCGTCAAAAACCTAACCAAAAACCGTTCCTGACTGAAAATCGAAATTATGAAGTACAAATACAAGATGAAAGCATAGCAAATACATATATGTTGTAGGAACATTAAAGGAAAACATACGGTATGAACGCTAAGTTTGGCCAGTGTTTGTGACTGAACATAACCCATTTGCAATACCTTGGGTTGCAAATGGTATGTCATCATGGGGGTAATTCTGATTCCTTGGCTACCATACGCTCTCAAAGGCAACATAACCAATCTGGGAAATTTCAATGTGAAAAAAGGCCTTACATCTGACCCTCTAACTTTCAAAAGTTGGGAGACTTTGCTTAACACAAATATTAGTGTTTCAAAACAGTAAAACGTATCACAACAATTATATCGTCAGTGTAAGTGCCATTTGTGTGTGAAAAATTGCACTTTCACTGACGATATCATCGTTGTAGTACTTTTTACTGTTTTGAAACACTAATATTTGTGTTCAGCAAAGTTTTCCGAGTAAAACAGTACCCCCCATGTACAAGTTTTATGGTGTCTTGGAAAGTTACAGGGTTAAATATAGTGCTAGCAAATTAAATTCCCTGGACTTTCGGCCTGGGTTGTCAGGCAGGTCCCGCAAATTGTAATTAATAAAATGATCTAATTATGTAAAATTATTACATAAATATATACGAATAATTATTATATATAATTTTTTTCAAATAATTTTTATTTATATACAGGTATATATAGTTAAAATTCGTATCTTGTAATACCTTTTTTATTGGACTAACAGAATTTTTAATGACAAGCTTCTATCAATATACGAAGTACTATGTGTAGACCTATGCTTTCCCATACTCTTATGCATGTATGCTTATATATAGTGATGCACCGAACGGTTTGCTGGCGAATAGTTCCTGGCGAACATAGCATGTTGGGTTCGCCACGGCGGGTGAACATATGCGCGGTTCGATCCGCCCCCATTCGTCATCATTGAGTAAACTTTGACCCTGTACCTCACAGCCAACAGACACATTCCAGCCAATTAGCAGCACACCCTCCCTAGCAGACCCCCCAGCTACTGGACAGCATCCATTTTACATACATTCTCAAGCTGCATGCTTAGTGAGAGGAGGGAAAGTGTAGCTGCTGTTGATTAGATAGGGAAATGCATAGCTAGGTTAGGGTATACAGTGTCCACTACAGTCCTGAAGGACTCATCTGATCTCTGCTGTAAGGACAGCACCCCAAAAAGCCCTTTTTAGGGCTAGAACATCAGTCTGCTTTTTTTTTTCCTTTTTTATCTGTGTAATATAATTGCAGTTAGTTGTCTGCCAGCTTCTGTGTCAGGCTCACAGTGGATACTGTGCCCAGTGCCACCACTCAATCACTGGTGTCACAATAGCTTGCATTTAAAAAAATTTTTTTTTCACTATAATAGATTGAATAGCAGTTAGTTGTCTGCCAGCTTCTGTGTCAGGCTCACAGTGGATACTGTGCCCAGTGCCACAACTCACTCACTGGTGTCACAATAGCTTGCATTTAAAAAAAAAAAAAAAATTTTTTCACTATAATATATTGAATAGCAGTTAGTTGTCTGCCAGCTTCTGTGTCAGGCTCACGGTGGATACTGTGCCCAGTGCCACCACTCACTCACTGGTGTCACAATAGCTTGCATTTAAAAACAAAAAACTTTTTTCACTGTTATAGATTGAATAGCAGTTAGTTGTCTCAAAGCGGTGTGTCAGGCTCACAGTGGATACTGTGCCCAGTGCCACCACTCACTCACTGGTGTCACAATAGCTTGCATTTAAAAAAAAAAAAACTTTTTCACTGTTATAGATTGAATAGCAGTTAGTTGTCTCAAAGCGGGTGTGTGTCAGGCTGCATAGCGTATACTGTGCCCAGTGCCACCACTCACTCACTGGTGTCCGTGCATTTAAAAGCCAAAAACTTTTTTCACTGTTATAGATTGAATAGCAGTTAGTTGTCTCAAAGCGGGTGTGTCAGCCCTACAGCGTGTACTCTGCCAGTTCACAGTGCCACTCTTATCTGGTGTCACAATAGCGTGCATTTAAAAACCCAAAAACTTTTTTCACTGTTATAGATTGAATAGCAGTTAGTTGTCTCTTCTGTGGGCACAGTTCGTGAGGGTGGGTGACCATGCAGATGCGGCATGTAGTGGAACTCCTGCCTCTAGCTTGCATCAGGATTATAGCCTTGCTGCTGCGGACCCGGCGACCGCCAGTTGTCAATTTCTTTCCAGGCTTGTGACTCACACTGGGACTCCATCTCAGCTGGGTAGAGCCGTGGCATCTTGGAGGCGGTATTTCTCTTCTGCCCCAGAGCTGTGTGAGAGCAGGTGCCCGCAGGCCACGAGCCTGGGGACCATCATGGTCCAGGGTCGTCTCTTTCGGGATGGCGCGGGGAGTCTTGGCAGTCTGTGCAAGTAATCATTTTGCTGCTCTCCACCGGTGTAGCCGGCACCTCTGGAGTGTGCCCCCTGTTGCTCTCAGCCCCTGAGGGCTCTGAATGCAGGAGTCTGAAGCATGGGGCTTAGTTTTGCCCTGAGGAGGACTCTCAATCCGTCCGCCATTGGCTCTGTTCCGTGTGGGCAGTTTGTGGCGGGGCACCTCAGGCTGTAAGTGTGTCTTTAACTTGGCCCAGAAGCGGTCAAAGATTACTGCATGGGAGTCTCTTGCGTGGTCCCCGGTGTCCGCTACAGCATATTGTTGCAGTCGCTTGTCCGACACTGTCGAGTCAGAGAGATCCGCAATTTTGGAGGCTCCCGTCTCCACATTGCTTCGGGAGGTTGCTGAGCCTGTCGTGTGGTGTGGGGTTTGGGGCACTCCACCTGGCGGGGACCAGGATATCCCGCACTGGTCCATGGGGTGGGGGTGTTTTGCTCTCGCGTTCAGCGTTTAGCATCTGGTGGGAAGGTAGCTGACCAAACATCTCCACTTTGGTCTTGTCTGTCCAAAGGACAGTGTTCGAGAAGTCTTGTGTTTGTTCAGATGCAACTTTGCAAACCTAAGCCATGCTGCTGTGTTCTTTTTAGAGAGAAGAGGCTTTCTCCTGGCAACCATTCCAAACAAACCACACTTGTTCGGTGTTTGCAATTTATCTAAACATTGCACTGATTGAGCTTGGAATGAACTTGCTGGGATGTCCACT